CTGGAGCCGAAGTTATACCCTTAATCTGTAAAGGTTCCTCAGTATAGGTTCTCAACCTACCTGACATCTTGTGCAAAATTAAGGGCTGGAGTCCAGAGCAAATTTTATTAAAATCTCGTTCTATGATCACTGATACAGTGCGCCAGTATCGACCTCCATTAGAGCTGGATGACCATTTAACCAGATGTTTATATTGATCGGTTCTGATTTTGATGTTGCTGAGCAATTTAACTCTTCCAAACCATGTGTAGCTGGATTTTCCATAGGTATGAACTCCCCTGGAACTGGCCTGTGAGTTATCGTATTCAATTGAGGTCAAGTAGGACTCTTTTGCTGTCTCAAATCTGCAGTCTGGCAACAACTACAATTGCTTGAGAGCCTGAATCAGGAAGAAAATTTTAACAACAAACAAAAAAAAGAAATTGTTGGAAAAGCTCAACAGGTCTGGCAATTTCTGTGGACACAAACCAGAGTTAGTGTTTTGGTTCAAGTGACCTTTCCACAGAACTGAGATTTTAACCATTTGTCCGAGGCTTGGCATTGTTTTGAAGTTTTACTGTGGACTGACGTAGAGACCCTCTGATCAGGATATGTCCAGAGTGAGACTGTGCAAGTGCCTGAACTCAAGTGGTGTTCCCCAAGCTCAGTCGGACTGGCTAGGGTGTCCACTTTTGTTGGAATACCTTGTAACTTGTATGCACCTCTTGCTTCATTTTCCAAAGATAAAGCCAGTTGTAGTGCCTATTTGAAGACCAGTTGGACTTCAGCTAGCGGCATTTTTGCATAATTACATAAATAATCCCACATACTAGTCGGTTTCGAAGCATCTTATTAAGGGTTAAACCAAATTCACCGGCTTCTACCCATCACCTTAACCTAGTCAAAAATCCTGATAGAGCTTTCCCTGGTTCTTAAATTGCTGAGTAAAAGCGATGGTGTCTCAGAATTAGAGGAGGCTTGGAGTTATAATATCCCTTAATGATGTCAATCAATTTTTGAAATATTTTAGTATGAGGTGCCTAAGGGACTTCAGGCTCCTAATGACAGAAAAAGTTCTAGCCCCACAGACTGTCAAGACAATTACTCGTTGTTTCTCGTCTGCCACAATGTCATTTGCCTGGAAGAAATAGCGCATTCTTTCCATGTACTGGGCCCAGTCCTCAATGGCAGCGTTGAATGAGTCAAGCTTCCCAAACAAGACATGATGTAAGAAATGCTTACCCCAAGTTAAAAACAACTGTTGCGACCATGTTTCTTCAGGATCATGCATTACCCTTGTCACCAGTGAAATAACTTTTCAGAGGCCCATACCCCATCACCAAGCCACCCTTTATTTACACAAGAACAGCAATCCTTGATTATAGTACTGCCTCATACAGAGTGAGGGACCATAGTGCCAGTATTTCTGACACTCAACACTTCTATGTGAGCCAGGGCTCCCTGTTTGGACCAGATTAATGGCCCCAATCAGGCAACTGATATTCTATGAGGTCCATCTGGCTCACTTCCTGACAATCACTACACATTTCATCTCATCTCATCCAATATAAAGCCCGCTAAAACCAAGAATACCTCCTCTCTCTCTCTCTCTCTCTGCTAATTCATTCTCATACATTATAAGAATATAAGAAACAGGAACAGGGGTAGGCCACATGGCCCTTTGAGCCTGCTGCCATTCAACAAGATCATGGCTGATCTTTTCATGGCCTCAGCTCCACTTACCCACCCTCCCACCATAACCCTTCATTCTTTTACTGTTCAAAAAATTATCTATCTTAGCTTTAAAAACATTCAATGAGGAAGCCTCAACTATTTCACTTGGCAGGCAATTCCACAGATTCACAACCCTTTGGGAGAAGAAGTTCCTCCTCAATTCAGTCCTAAATCTGCTACCCCTTATTTCCTTATTTTAAGGCTATGCCCTCTTGTTCTAGTTTCACCTGCCAGTGGAAACAACCTCGCTGTTTCTATCTTAGCTATTCCCTTCATAATTTTATATGTTTCTATAAGACCGCCCTTCGTTCTTCTAAATTCCAATCAATATAATCCCAGTCTACTCAGTCTCTGCTCATAAGCCAACCCTCTCAACTCTGGAAAGAACCTAGTGACTCTACTCTGCACCCCCTCCAGTGCCAGCACATCCTTTCTCAAGTGGGGAGACCAAAACTGCACACAGTACTCCATGTGTGGCCTCACCAGCACCCTATACAGCTGTAACATAACCTCCCTGCTTTTAAACTCCATCCCTCTAGCAATGAAGGATAAAATACCATTTGCCTTCTTAATTACCTGTTGCACCTGCAAACCAGCTTTCTGTGATTCATGCACAAGGACACTCAGGTCCCTCTGCACAGATACACGCTGCAATATTTCACCATTTAAATAATAGTCCTTTTTAAAGTTACTCCTACCAAAATGGATGACTTCACATTTATCAACACTGTACTCCATCTGCCAGACTTTTGCCCACTCACTTAAACTACCTATATCCCTCTGCAAACATTCAGAGTCCTCTGCACACTTTGCTGTACCACTCTTCTTAGTGTCATCTGCAAATTTTGACATATTACACGTGGTCCCCAACTCCAAATCATTGATGTAAATTGTAAACAATTGCGGTCCCACCACTGATCCCTGAGGCACACCATTAGTCACTGATCGCCAGCCAGAAAAGCACTCATTTATCCCCATTGTTTGCTTCCTGTTAATTAACCAGTCCTCAACTTATGCTAATATATTGCCCATAATACCGTGCACCTTTATCTTATGCAGCAGACTTTTGTGTGGCATCTTGTTGAATGCCTTTTGTAAATCTAGATACACCACATCTACTGGATCCCTGTTGTCCACCACGCTCATAATGTCTTCATAGAATTCCAGTAAATTAGTTAAAAATGAACTACAGTTTTTGAACCCATGCTGTATTTGCCCAATGGGACAATTTCTACCTAGTTGTCTTGCTATTTCTTTCTTGATGATGGATTCAAGCATTTTTCCCACGACAGAAGTTAAACTAACTGGCCTATAATTCCCCATCTTTTGTCTACCTCCTTTTTTAAACAGTGGCGTTACATTTGCTGTTTTCCAATCTGCTGGAACTGCCTTAGAGGCCAACGAATTTTGGAAAATTACCACAAATACATTTGCTATTTCTCCGACCATCTCTTTTAGTGCCCTAGGATGCATTCCGTCAGTGCCAGGAGACTTGTCCACCTGTAGCTCCATTAACTTGCCCAACACTTCCTCTTTCATGATAATGATCGTTTCTAGGTCCTCACCTACCTTAGTCTCCTTGTTATCAATTACTGGCATGTTATTTGTGTCCTGCTCCCTGACTTCTATACCAATATCATCCTTTTCCTCTGCAAAGTAATGTTTTAAAATCGCAGCTCTGTCTTCCAGCTCCACACATACATTGCCACTTTTTTCCTGAACTGTCATCCTCTTTGCCTGGTTATTCTCTTGTCCATAGTATATAAAGTGCTTTTGGATTTTCCTTAATGTTACCTTCTTTTTGAAGTGATCCACTGCACTTTCTACACTCCTCTAGGGCAACCGCTGTTTTGAGCCTTTGATATCTACCATAAGCTGCCTTCTTTTCCCCAATCCAAACCTAAACATACATCCAGAATTCTCTGGAACATTCGGCTAGTATCCCGGATTACTAGTCCAGTGATATTACCACTAAACACTTCATCCATCTGACCACATGTTTGAACAGTGTAAAGGAAGCTTTGATGACCCAGTGTATAGGAAGCTTTATTCTGTATCTAACCCTGTTCTGTATCTGTCCTGGGAATATTTGCTGGGACAAGATAAGGAAGCTTACTCTTGATGCTGAGATGTACCTGCCTTCGGGTGGTTGATAGGGACAATGATAGGAACAAATATTTTCTCTGAAGTTAGAAATATACTCAAAGGGACTAGTCGTTAAAGGTGCTCCTCTGTTTTGGACGTAGTGATAGCCTAAGTGCTGAAGAAACTGGGTTTAGATACTGGATATGGACAGTATTTCCATTGCAGGTATGCAGCTGAACTCCCTTGGTATTATTCATAAGACATAAATATAAATAATTGGTTTCACTGGTTACAACAATACCACATGTTGAATCATAGAATGGTTACAGCACAGAGGATGCTATTCCACCTGTTGTGTTCATGCTGGCATTCTGAGGGAACAAACCATTTAGTGCTGTTACCCTGCTTTCACTGCTTGGCTTTGCACATTCTCCCTAGTTAGATATTTACCTAATTTCATCCTGAAGGCATCAATAGAATGTGCCTACCACCTCACTACGTGGTAAAGTTTTTCTTTTACGTCTTCAGTTTCTTTTTCCAATTTCCTTAAATCTGATTCTCAATCATTGTACCAAGGGAAACAGTTTCTTCCTGTTTGCTGTGTCTGGACACTCATGATTTTGAACACCTCTACCAAATCTCCTCATGACCTTCTCCAAGGGGAATAGCCCCAACTTCTGCAATCCATCTGTGTAAATTAAGTTCCTCATCCGTGGAACCAGTCTCATGAAAAATGTGCACAATCTGTCTAATGCCTTCACAGCCTTCCTAAAGTGTGGCTAGCAAACCAGGATGCAGTGCTCCACTTCAGGAAAAAGCAGTATTCTATGTATATTAAACATAACTTCTGTGCTTTTGCACTTAATGCCCCTATAATAAAGCTGAGCGTACTAGATACTTTATTAACCACTCTTTCAACTTGTCTTGCCGCCTTAATCGTTTATGCACATTTCTACTCACCAGAATGAATCACTTCACACTTCCCTGGTGTTAAATTTAATCTGCTCTAGTCCACCAACCAGTCTACGTCCTTTTGAAATTCTACACTTTCCTCCTCACAGTTCATGATGCTTTCAAGGATTCTATCAGCTGTAAGATGTAACAGAAAGAACAAGACAAAATTAGGGAAAATATATGACATCCATATTTAAACAATTGAAGGGAGGCAAGAATGATACTTATCTTTTTACCTTTCTGCGCAGAACATGGATACTCAAGGGACGTCCAAGATTGACACTTCCTATGCATAGCCTCGTGTGCCTGGCCGCATTTGGATTTGCACTGCCTGTTGCCATCAGCCTCTTCCCACAAATGTCAGAGGTCAGTAAATGAGGATAATTAAGGTATCTAATTTTACTGAAACATTATTCAAGTAGCTACCTATGATGATTTCCTTGTGACATACACCCCGTCATGTGAGTGTGCAGAAGAAGCTTCGTTCTGTATTCTATGCTAAATTTGTCCTGAGAATGTTTGATGGAATACCGTCGAGGGGGGCTGTACCTGAGGCTGAGTCAGCAGCCAATGAGATAGCTGACACCCATGAAACCATAACGCAGAAAAAATAATTGTGAAATGCAATCTTACTGAGATCAATGTTAATTAGGCATTACTATATCAGTAATCCAGTGATGAAATGTCGCTCTCCACCTATCAGACATTATATGACACAGTTAATCAGAACTTGTAATTAAACCTGCTTCACACTTCATTGTTCACAGAAAAGGGCACAGTCTCTGAGAGTGCAGTTATGATAAAGTGAGACTTCCGAAAAGCTGCCAAAATTGTCACTGACCTTATCAAATCTTTTCTGCCCTCGACCTGCTCTTGTGTCTTCATTGATTCATTGTATTGGCACCTTCTGCTATTCTTCTCCACATGTCCACTGTTCCTTGGAGAGTCTGGACAGGTTGATCCACATAGAAATCCAATCCGACCTCTGATACCCTCCAAACAAAGCTAGTGGAAATCCTCATTGCTGCAGCCTGATCGCTTCTCACTTCAACACCCAGTTATAATCTGATGGAATTCATCAGTCAACTATGTGAACCTAGACAGTGTGGAGCTGGAGGAACACAGCAGGTCAGGCGGTATCAGAGGAGCAGGAGAGTCGACATTTCAGGTCAGGACCCTTCATCAGAACATAGAATTCACCAGTTTGAAAATCTCCCCACGCACCAGTCTAAATCCCATGTCCAACCCTCCCTCTCATCCTCACCTCCTTGACTGACTCAACTTGCCCATCTTCTTCCCCACCTATCTGCTCCACCCTTCCCACTGACCAATCTCCACTACCTACTACCTGCATCCACCTATCACCGTCCCACCTACCATCCCCCAGCCCCTCCTCTTCTCCTTCTATTTATTTCCCAGCTCCCTCCACCCTTCCTAGGCCTCATGAAGGGTCCTGACCCAAAACGTCGACTCTCCTGCTCCTCTGATGCTGCCTGATCTGCTGTGTTCCTTCAGCTCCACACTGTATTGACTCTGACTCCAGCATCTGAAGTTCTTGCTGTCTCTAACTATGTGAACCTGAGTTATTATCTTTGTACAGGAGAGTAAAGTGCTGCACCAGGTTTCTACCAAATAGTACAGATGGAAAATTAGCTGACTGAGTGTCAGTTCTCAGCCTTGTGTTTAAATGGTCTCAACTCCTCCCTATCCCTGTAACTCTGTATCTCTGTCCCTGCTTCCATGCTTTTGGTATTTCTCAACTCAAACAGCTTTTGCTCCCTTGCCTGCCTCTCAACCTTGCAGCTTGTTGTGTGTGTGCTCCCATTCCAAAGGTACTCACCAGTTGAATATGCTTGCCTGTCTAAACTTGGCACTTGAAGAGATAAATGCATGTTCCCAGACCAAGGATCAAGGTATTCATTTTTAGCAGTTGGATGATCAGAGTCGTCTACAATGAGAGATAGAGTCTTTGCATTGGATGTTATTGTGGATTGGGGGTTTGTAATAGAGGAGATAGCATATCTATGTTGGATGTTTGGAGAAGAGGTTTTGTGATAAAGGTAATACGCTTGTACGTTGGACATCTATCTTTGCCGTAAAAACATGCAATGAGGAAGCCTCAGCTGCTTCACTGGGCAGGAAATTCCACAGATTCAGAACCCTTTGGGAGAAGAAGTTCCTCTTCAACTCAGTCTTAAATCTGCTCCCCTTTATTTTGAGGCTATGCCCCCTAGTTCTACTTTCACCTGCCAGTGGAAACAACCTCTCTGCTTCTATCTTATCTATTCCCTTCATAATTTTATATGTTTCTGTAAGATTCCCCTTCATTCTTCTAAATTCCAATGAGTATAGTCCCAGTCTACTCAATCACTCCCAATAAACCCTATCTCTCAACTCCAGAATCAAGCTCATAAACCTCCTCTGCACCCCCTTCAGTGCCAGCACATCCTTTCTCAAATAAGGAGACCAAATCTGTGCACAGTACTCCAGGTTTGGCCTCACCAGCAGCCTGTACAGCTGCAGTATTACTTCCCCATTTTTAAGCTCCATTTCTCTAGCAATGAAGGCCAATATTCCATTTGGCTTCCTAATTAGCTGCTGCACCTGCAAACCAACTTTTTGTGATTCAGTGTGAGGGGAGAATATATAATGGAGGAGATAGTATCCCTGTGTTCGACATTAGTGCGAGAGCATGGTTATGATGGAGTAGATGTGTCTCTATATTGGACATTAGTACAAGGGTGATGGAGGAGATGGTGATCCAAAGTTGGATATTAGTGCAAGGGGAGGGTTTGGGTTGAAGGTGATCGTGTCCCAATGTTGGACATTAGTGTGAGAGGGGAATCTGTGATGGAGGAGATGGTGTTTCTATGTTGGATGTTCATGCAGGAGGAGACACCATTTCCTGTTTGGCACTCAGGGAAGAACTAATCAAGTATGTACAATACTTAGCGGTCTCAATGGACAAATGGATTTCTGGGCTCTGAGTTTCTAAGTGCTCACAGCTTCTCCCACTGATAATTTAAAGGGTTTGGATTACTGATGCTTCTATTAGCTTATAGTAAAATGAGTGTTTTTTAAGAAAGTGGAAAGTAATGAATGTATTGACTGCTTTTCTTAAAATTCTTTTTTATATCCCTACTGTCACTACAGGATTTATTGCATCTATATAATGTATAGTAAGTGATTAGGCATAAAGTGCCATAGTTGGCATGAGAAGCTTTGGATGATTGATGGGAGGGCATAGCCTGGCACTGGGGGGCCATGGGGCTAGGTAGAGGACATGGCCTGCCATGGAAGGACATGAGGAAGACCTTTCAAAGTTACCTTTCAAACTATTCCCTCTTGCACACGTTGGTTCATGACACATCTGAGGTGCTATGAACCATGACTCTAAATAATTGGTCTGATTCAGAGAAAATTGCTGGGACCTGCTTATCTCACAATGGACCCATCCAGGTCAGGAGGACTTGGCAAGGATTCACAACCAGAACCTACCAACACCCTTAAAAGCACTCTCAAAAATTGGAAACCCCCAGGAATGGGATCAGGAATCCAGAATTGGAATCTGCTTGCTTTGTAAAATCATCTTGACTCGATGAAACTCAAAACTTTATGCTGGTTATTTGAGAGGAAAGGAATTGTGGTGAGAGGGATAGCACACCATTCTGTTACAAACATTATAGTATAGTTTTATTATTATTGTATGTTTTCCAATGTTTCCCTTTCACTCACTTAGCTTGATGGTGCTGATTCATTCTGAACATCAGCTCCATGAGCAGCATCATCACACTTCACTTCACTGTCGTGCCCATTCTTCAAATGAGGACAAAAACAGCATGTGCCAAGCAACTGTGCATCACAGCGGAGACCGATCCTACAGTTAAATTATACCAAATACGCATTCCTTCAATGGCCAGTTACTAAAAACATGAACCCCATATCATTCCTCCCCATCAAACCCCAGACGCTGAGGCCATACGAAACTTTTGATTATTTCCAAATTTAGCTCCTTCTGATAAGCATATGCCAACCTTTAATCCAAACTTCAAAACCCCTTTTAAAGAAACTGTTGAACCATCAGATGCATGTTAATTAAAAATTCACTTTGTTTAATTCCCTACTATATTATTACAGTGATTCTGTAGAGCAGGATGTCAAATGCGTAACTGTACAGATTCTCTGTTTATTCAAAGGAATAAGAGTCACTCGCTGAGAAACCATATGGGGTTCCTGTTTGTTCAGCTGGGTTATACTCACGCAGCGTGCATCTCCAAGGACTTCCTGTTTATTCAGTAGGGTGACGGTCACTCACTGTGTAACCACATGAAGCTTGGTTAATTCACCCAAATTACTGGCTCAGCAGCTCCAGGGAGCTCCTGTTAATTCACAGGACAAGAGTTACCTGCTCAGTATGTACCTGGCCTGGGAGTAATTGATGGGCAGTATAGAGAGAGAGATCTACTGTATCCACTTCCATGTTATACCAGTCCTGGGAGTGTGTGATGGGACAAAGTAAAATTCTGTGTGTAATCCATGCTGTACCCACACAGGGATTGTTTCACATGGCATCAGATACTCAAAATCAAATGTTCTCCTGCCTCTACTATGAATGGTCCTCGCTATGAAAGACATAATATTCATGCAAAGGAAATATTGAACATACATTCACAGTGGTGTCATTTCACAAAACTGTCTCTGGATCTTTATGTTTCTGTGCTTATTAAAATTCACACAAAACAAGCAGTTTAAAAATAAAATAACGCTTGATGCTGTCTCTACCTGGAGCAGCTGTTACACAGAGAAACAGCAACAAAAATTCACAGGCCCAGTCAGTGCTTCCTGATGAAAAGACACTTCAGAATGCTGTTTATTTAGCCTTTAGCCTTTCCTTTACACCCAGACACTACCCCAGGGTAAACCAGGTGTTTGTCAAGTAAGTCTTTGACAAGCAGGAAATCACACCAGTTTGCTTCCTTAAGAATTGGTCCTTAAAATCAAGACATAACTCCCTAGCAGCGCACCTTTTAAATTATTATTTATCTTTGGGGAGGAGGTTGGTGGTGTATGTTGGAAGGAAAGAAAGAAAAATAAACAGAACAGGGGATTTCGGGAAGGTCAGTCATTGTCACTGCCAAGCTAAGAAGGCAGCATATGAAGCAAACACACTTCTGGAGAGGTGATTTCATTGCACATTATGACAAAGAGAACTGCAGCAAACAAAATGGAATTCTGGTTGGCAGAATACGCAGGATTTTCTTTTGTACCCACACACACACACAGACACACACACATTCCCTCACAGGGTGTGGACATCACCGGCTTTTATTGCTCTTCCCCTATTGCCCTTTAGAAGGTGGTAGAAA